TTGAAATCCCGCAGCTCGGAAAGCCAGCTGGCTCAGGCCAGAAAACAGCAAGTGGCGAAGAAAAGCACCTCGTTCCTGCGTCCCGGCTCGGCCGGGTCCCCTCCTTCCTCTCCTGTCCTGAGCGAAACGCCTCCGGTTGGCCGGACAGGAGTGACCCAGCAGTTCAGGTGAGGCTCTGCGGCCGGAGAGAAAGGGGGGGGTCGGGGTCAACTTATTTCCCAAACACCAGAAGGCAAGAGAAGAAGCAACGGGTGGAAACTAATCAAAGGGAGAAGCAACCTTGGAATTAAGGAGGCGTTTTGTGACAGGGAGGACAATTAACTGGTGGAACGGCTTGCTACTAGGAGGGGTGGGTGCTCCAACCCTGGAGGATTTCCAAGAGGAGGCTGGAAGACGGTCTAGGGGTGGAAACCATGTTTCTTTTGGGACTTGTAGACTTCATTTCCCCGAATTCCCGCCCTGGCTCAGGCATTCTGGGAGTTGGTCCCCCAGCCACGGTGGGTCAGACTGGAAGATCTCCAGGGTCCCTTCCCAGAGTTGCTCTACTGAGTCACCCAGGCCACCTTTCTGGCCCTCTCTCTCTCTCTCTCCCCCCACGTGGCAGGTTCTCCGGGGCGCAACCCACGGCGGGCCCCCTCCCGTCCTTCCACAGCATGATGGAGCGTGTCCCCAGCGAGGCCTCCTACCGGGCCCCCGTGGAGAAGCTCTTCTACCTGCCCCACGTCTGCAGCTACAAGTGCCTGAGCCGGGTGCGGCCCCTCCGCCCCGACCTCCACCGCAGCCGCAACCCGCTCCTCATCCCGCTGCTCTACGACTTCCGCCGCATGACGGCCCGCCGGCGGATCAACCGCAAGACGGGCTTCCACGTCATCTACAAGACGCCCTGCGGCCTCTGCCTGCGCAGCATGAACGAGATTGAGCGCTACCTCTTCGAGACAGACTGCGACTTCCTCTTCCTGGAGATGTTCTGCCTGGACCCCTACGTGCTGGTGGACCGCAAGTTCCAGCCGTACAAGCCCTTCTACTACATCGCGGACATCACCAAGGGCCAGGAGGACGTGCCCCTCTCCTGCGTCAACGAGATCGACAGCACCCCGCCGCCCCAGGTGGCCTACAGCAAGGAGCGGATCCCGGGGAAAGGGGTCTTCATCAACACCAGCTGGGAGTTCCTGGTGGGCTGCGACTGCCAGGACGGCTGCAGGGACAAGTGAGTGTGTTTCCCCC